TGAGGCCAACACCAGCAGGCAGGTCATAAAAATGGCTCTTTTCTAGAACCTGATATTCTTTAATTCCTCAGCAATGTGTTAATCATGTTGAGAAAATGGAAGAGTTGCCCCTTTAATCCAGATACACTCAGCTCTATAGTTAAATAGCTACAGCTTTGGCCATATGAAGCATTCAAGTTTCAGATGAGGTTTGGTGAACTGTCAGTACTGGACTGGTAGGAGGTGGCGGGGAGGGAAGGATCATCAGGATTTAAGAGGCCACATGAATGGCTCTTGGTTATGTGGGATAAGCTTGCACTGTTGTGCTAATTAAGGCCAAATCAGCACATTGCCTCTTTTCTTTTTGGAGTTTGACTTCTGTGTGAAGGCACTAAACACACATGCCTGAATGGCACTGAATCTTCCTTGGGAAAAACGGATTCTACTCCTCAGGAATTCAAGCATACCAGATTTGTAAGAGGACAGAATAAACATGCTTCTCTGCAGCTGTAATGTCAGATTTGTCACAGAGAGATTCTTCATGTTCATAGCTCCATGAGACAGAGTCCTGGATACCTAACCAGGAGGCCTTGGTCCATGCTAGACTGCCTGGAGCTGAGCCTCCCAGGTGGTAGACTGAACTCCGGGAACACTCTGCTTCATGTTTCTAAGGCAACCTCAGGGAACAGAAAGGAAAGCAACCACAGGATACAGACAGAAGAAGAAAGACATCACAAAATTCATCCAGTGATGCTGATTTGGTAAATTCAGTGCAGGACATTTTACCCAGTAGCATGCTTGCCTCCAATTACATGCCTATCACTGTCATTAGTATTTTCTCAGAGTGATCCTGTCCCTTATCCATTCTCTTATAAATGCCACATAGTGCTCAAGTTACAGGGCTACAATGGACATCAAGACTAAGAAGAAATGTCTGAACCTCCAGAATGCAGAAGATGCAATATAAAGGACCATAAACCAGGAGGGGGACAGATTGGGATGGAAGTCATGAAGGCCATACCAGGATGTGTGAAAGAGAACACAGGTGAGGACACAGCAGGGAGAGGGCTGATGTTTATATGGGAGAGAAAGAAGGTCAGCGTGACTGAAGGATTGTAACAGAGACTGGAGGAGGAAGAGAAGGAATCAATGATTTTTAATACTCTTTAGTATGGACCAAACCCTGTTCTAAGCAGTTCATCGACATCAACTCAATCCTCACAGTACCTCTACCATGTATTATTTCCTCTACTTTGCAGGTGAGGAAACTGAACTGTCAGAAAGGTGAAATAATCTGCATCAAATCACACAGCTACCCCAGAGCAAAGCCTAGATTGCCACACCCCAGGTAGTCTGACTCCAGACTGACCACACTTTAGGCCTCAGCCTCTGAGCCAAGTAGAAGAGCAAGTTTGACAACAGCTGACCTCTTTTGAAATATCTGTACCTTCATCGACTCTCTCCTGAACATAAAATATATTTACAAGAAGACAGAACCAATTATTAACTCCAAGCCTGTGAATGATTATAGCTTGTGATGTTTCTAATTGGAAAGAAGAAAAAAAAAAAAAAAAAAAAAAAACTTGGGAGAGATCCAGAAAGGAACATTTTCATTTCAATGTTGGAAGCATGAGCAAAGGAGAGGTTACAGGACGGTGAGTGCTTCCTCCAGTTTCTAGTGTACAGCCTGGCAAGGCAACACAGAAGTTGGCTCTTCATTACCACATCACGATTCTCACAATCCTGTCACTTAACTGGCATTACACAGGAGCCTACAGTCACAGGTCAACTAAACTAGTGACTTCCAGAAGAAGAAAAAAGAATCTTGACTGAGTCACACTGACACTACTTCTCCATCATGAAAAAGGTAGATAGCTTGGAGTTTTTATAAAGCTTAGCAGATGCTGAATCCCTGTGAGGGTACCAGGCATCAAAGGAAGGAACTGAGGCTGCTGGCTTTTGTCTAAAGCAGGGTCTTAATGCTCCCATACCTCTTGGGACTTAGAAGGAGGCTTTGGCACAATCATTTGCATTTCTTATTTACTTATTTATTATTTTTTTATTTTTGGTCTTTTTGAGACGGGGTCTTCCTGTAGCCCCAGCTGATCTGGAACTTACTACATAGACCAGGCTGGCCTCAGTCTCCTAGAGATCCACCTGCCTCTGCCTCCTGAGTGCTGGGATTAAAGGTATGTGCTACCATGCCCAGCTTGTATTTCTTTGTAAAACAATTTTTTGGATTTATTTATTTTTATTTCATGTGTATGAGTATTTTGCCTACATGTGTGTATGTGCATCTGTGTTAGGCAATACCTGCAGAAGACAGAAGAGGGCATCTGATCCCTTGGAACTGGAACTATGGACAGTTGTTAGCTGCCATGTGGGTACTGGGAACTGAACCTGCATCCTCTGCAAGAGCAGTCAGTGCTCTTAACTGCTGAGCTATCTCTCCAGCTCTCATTTGCATTTCTTAAGCAGGGGAAGTAAAATACCACTTATTTTTTTTTTAAAAAAAGTAAAAGCCTGGTATGATGGTACATGCTTATAATCACAGCACTTGGGGCTCTGATTTAGGTGGACTGAGAATTCAAGGTAAGTCTGGGCTGTGGAATGAGACTTGTCTCAAAACACCAAAAAAACAAGAGCTGCAGCACCAAAATCTTAGAACCCACATTCCATTTAATGAGTAGATCAAATCTATGGAGAACTGAGAGTAAGAGGGGCTATGAAATTCTCCATGCTTTTGGAAAATAATGTGATTTTCCTGTTGCCACATTGCTGCATTTCTTCCCACAAAGACAGATAAGTCAACTCTGAGAGATCTTATTCAAAGGGTTGGCATACTTATAAGTGGGATTAATAAATTCAGCTGCTAGCACTTGGGAGATACTCAGTTTGTAAAGTGTTTGCCATGCAGACATAAGGACCTGAGTTCAGAGCCCCAGCACCCATGTAAAAAGCCTGGTGTGGCAGTGTGTGTCTGTAATCCCAGTGTTTAAGAGGCAGAGACAGAAGGATCCCTGGGGTTTTCTGGCTGGCCACTGTAGATGAATTAGTGGGCTTCAGGTTCAATGAGAGACCCTGCCTCAAAGAACAGGATGGTGAATGGTTGAGGAAGACACCCAAGGCTGACCTCAGGTATTCACATGTGTGTGTGCACATGCACTTGACTACAGATACATATCTTATCCCCCCCATTCAGTTGCAGAAACAGTAGCTGCATATTCTTTTAAACAGATATTGCTTTATAATCCTAAATGGTTCTTAGTCAACAATGGCCAGCTATGGTACTATAAATATAGGTTCAGAATATTTAAGTATAAATATAGGGAATAATATGTTTAAATACAGTCAAATGTTCTGTAGGCATTAAATTACTTTTGACAGGTTGATTTGACCTCTCATTTCTGATTGGCTCAAGGGCTTTTCAGCATCTCTCTGGATAATGGTAAAGCCCTTCTTCCATGTGTTTCTTTTCTGAACTATCCTCCTGTGAGGGAGTTCCCATTTAGGATTATTTCCCTCAGAATTCTAGGTCAGTAGGAGGAAAACTAAATGAGGGGAAGGCTGCCCTTCTCCTGTAACAAGGTTTCAATAAAGTGCCTGGACTGACCTTGAATTCAGCATCCTCCTACCTCAGCACCCCCTCTCCCAAGTGCTAGGATGAAAGTTGTGGGCCTCCACAGGCAGCAAGATTTTGTTCCTTAATCTATGGAAGCCCTAGGAGGGCAGTTTCTATGGTTGGCCACAGTGTCACTGTCATTTTATATATAGTAACACTGACTTAAAAAAAAGAATCACTTGACAAAGTTTTCTATTTCTGTAACATTGTGTCAGAAGGAAGCCTAACAGAATGTCTTCCCAGGGTGAAAGTGCTTGTTTGGATTTCAGATGTTAGTTTTATTTAACTCCTTAGATAAATTTAGCTCCTGTGAGAATAAACATTCTGGATTCCCAGACTCAGATAATATACTTTCAATACTGATGCACTGAAATAAAACATACTTGTAAGCCGGACCAATAACCTTGGGTATTTCCCAGACACTCCAGGCTGCAGGTGACCTACAGATTCTCCATGTGAAGCCCTGGCTCTGGCTCCCACCGTGATATCTGCAGAGGGATTCCACAGCAACTCCACACCTAGGCCCGCAGTATATACCTGCAGAGCAGAAAGCACATCCCTCTGGGGCACCCCCTGTCCCCAGTTAAGGGGTTCAAGTCCTAACCTTCAGTAGTTTTTTTCAATTATTCGACTGTTTCTGCTCTTCCTCCAACTCCTTTCCAATGTGTGGCCTAGGCTACTAGTAAATTTGTGCCTAGAAAGGAAACAATTAGCAGGAATGACTCAGTGTCTCCACCCCTGCCACATTCCTGCAATTGCCCCACCTTTGCGGCTCTGCAGGAACTCCAGATGAGAAAAGAAACTTGCTGAAATCCCTGGAAGAGATGAAGATTCTTTCCTAGAAAAATGACCCATGTCCAGGTTCCAATGCAGAGGAAAACAAACACAATTCCCTCCGAGACCCTTTCCGAAGGATCCTAGCAACAGCAGCTGGTGCAGCGCTCGCAAGCCACTTATAAAACCAGTGCTAGATCAGGCCCGCATGGCCGGTTCCCACTGCGGTGCCCTCCTCGCCCATCCTCTGTACCAGCACTGCAGTGAGTAAGGTCAGATGGGCTCCGGAAGGCCGGGAGAGGAAGCCCCAAGACTGCACAGTTGGAGGAGAGAAGGGGAGGCAAAGATGAAATTAAGGATGGGTTGACCTTGAGATTCTTCCTGAGTTATCGATAGGAAGGCTCGGTCTCACTTAGGCCTTCAAAGCCAACTCAATCAGGGAGAGGACGCAGGGCAGGCGGAGGGCAAAGTGGACGGACATGCAGAGTTTGACAGGCAAAGGGAGCCAGGCTGGAGAGAGACCCTGTTCCGCTGCAAGTGGCTGGGCTACACGCTGTGCGCGTGTGTAGGGTCTTCATGCCCCAGATAGCCAAAGCCCCCACAGCCCACAGGTGCCAGCACTTACCTGGATCACCTTCGCACGCCTGGTGTAGACTGGAGCTGCGCAGTTCTGCTAGGGTGCGGCTCCAGCTCTGCCCAGCAGGCCCCGCCCCGTCCAGAGACAGCGCGAGGCCACGCCCCCTAGCCGGAAGTCCGGTCGCAGGGACCCGGTTTGCCAGTTCTCTCCGCTTCTAAGGGCATTTTCTCGCTGCTCCTGGTGGTCTGCAGATTTACCTTTCCCATTCCCCCATCTTCATATCTGCTCCGTTCCCCCAAGTGCCCCTTTGTGACCATAGTCCTAAGTTGTTCCAGTCAGTTCATTCCGCTCGGCTGGAGTTTGCGGAAAGTCAGTAGTAATTCGTCCCCAGGACAGATACCGTAGCTTAGTTCTGGCACTGAAGCCAATTTTCGCACTGCGCATGCGCGGAGAATGCCTGGGTAGGAAGACTTTTGGGAGTGACTTTGTTTCATCTTTGAAGAGGCTGGTGAAAGTCATGTTCCCATGTTAGGGACCTGGGAGTTTCCCTAACCAGCACTGTTAACGGTGGAGAACATACCCAGCCCTGCCCTCGTGATGGGCCGTGCCCATTCTCACTCGCGCCCCGGCGGCAGGTTCTTGTGGCCTAGCTCGTGCACATCTTTGTCCCTGGAACCCTCAGACTAGCGATGAACGCAGGCCTCGGGGTGGCCTCCTGGAGGAGAGCCTTGGGTGGGACCCGTTGGGCCAGAAGACACCAAAGTTACTGTTTTTTTCTTGTGTCTTAAGTGCTAGACATCCTGGCAACCTGGGTCAGACAATGCATATCTTTTAAAGTCCCCCTTTTCCCTCCTTCCTTTCCCACCAATACAGGAAATAGAGTTGATTCTGGAGCCAAATATGAGTGCCCATGGCCTGGGAAACATTCAGAGTGCTCCCAATACCATATTCTCACTGGTAATAATTCCGTGAAATTATCTTAGTAACAACGAAACAAAGTCATAAACCAAGGCACTTTCCAAATACATTGACGGGAACTTCAAGTAGGCAGATTACAGCAGAGCTGGGAAGCCTCAGATGCTGATGACATTTTTAACCCTTTTAGTTGGTAGAAATTGGTGGTCTGTTTATACCATCCAGAAGGATTTGCATGTTAGCCACAAGGATAGATGTTGGTTCAAACATAGAGGTGAGCCATAAATGGCTATTAAAGATAGCCCACATTAATTTGCTGGGAACCTGCAACATTCTACCTCTCTGCAACCACTGAAATTCCAATCAGTTAATTAGCCTTGTAGAATCTTTAATATAGGTAGTCCCCTCCTCCAACCTCAGTGCCCATTTCCTTCCTTTCTTCCCTTCCCTTCTTTCCTCCCCTTCTTCCTATACTGTAGCCCGGACTGGCTTCAAACTTACTATGTTGCCGTGTAGCTCAGGCTAGCCCTGAGGTCCTGATCCTTTTGCCTCCACTTCTGAAGTGCTGTGATTACAGATGTGCATCAGTATACCCACCCAGGTCAGTCTTCTTTATTGCTTTTAGGAAGACACCCCTCCAGTGGCATGTATGATTTGGGGGTTTTTCTTACCTCTTGGATCTTAACTATTGGGTGCTTACCTAGTCCAAACCAGGTTGTGGACAGACTAGAATCTAAATTGTAGGGTCTAGGCTGGGTCTTTGTTCATTTTTATAGGCTTGTCATGCTCACACATCTAGAAGCATTTTGAAGGCTCATAAAGTTTATTGTTGTTGCAGCAATGTACAACTGTTCACATGCTTTGTCCTTAAGTATAAAAAAAAGCCTTGTACTTTAGGGTTTCTGGCACATTGGGTTTGAGAATTTTTTTAAAAAAATTTATGTGTATGCATGTATTACCTGCATGTAGGTAAGTGCACCTGTGTTGTGCAATGCCTGCAGAGGTCAGAAGATGCTGTTGGATCCCCTGGGACTGGAGTTACGGACAGTTGTTAGCTGCCATGTGGGTGCTGGGATTCGAACCTGGGTCTTCTGCAAGACCAACCAGTGTTCTTAACCACTGAGCCATTTCTCCAGCCTGTAGAGGGTTTGTTTTAACTGAATGTTGAAAGGAATCAAATAGGAAGACATTTTCACATTATTGAGATTATTCTCCCTTGCTGCTGGTCTATATAAGAAATAGCAGCCCAGGTGGAAGAAGGGATGATCAGAAGTCAGGAGAATTCTGGCTTTTCCTTCTCTGGGCATTCCTGTTTGATCACAGACAAGAACAAAACATGCAACGCCTTCTTTAGAAAACCTTATAAAGGCAATATTTTTCTGTGTAGAAATCTTGAGAAATACAGGGGGGAATTCCTTAAGAAAATGACACATGTATGTGTCACACACACAGGATGGAGTTATACTGTACATATCATTTTGTTTGCTCTGTCCATTTCACAAATTGTAAACCATTTCCTCTTCATTTTTTGGCTAGTTCATTCCACAACATTATTTGGCAAAAATTGTGTGTCACTTTATGTAGATCGCTTGTTAGACCTAGCTTGCTTTGGGTTCTTTCCTGTTACAGTGAACAATTTTGTCAGTAAATCTGTGTGCATGCAAAATAGTGGTTTGGCTAAAGTCCTTTAAAGAAGAATTTCAGGGTCGGAGAATACTTCTTTAAATCTCTTGATACCTATTAACAATATGCATTCCTGGAAAAGAGTTATAATTGTCTTTAACTCTGGATATTGTATATAGTTTCCTCTGTTTCTAAGTGGGACTAGGACTTTTTATTATAGGGCTGTTGTGAAGATCAAATGAAGTGATGATGAAGTGCTACACAACAGTGTACCACTTTTTATCCCAGGTTAACATCTTTTGTAGGCCCCATTACAGTAAAGTGAATTATGATGTGCAGCTCTTGGCTCAAGTTACTGTGTCCCTGCTTCTCTCACCATTAATTCCTTCTCCATTTACAATCTGGCTTCTGCATCCAAGGCTCTGTTCAAACTGCTCTCTTAAAGGTCACAGTTAGCCTTGTAAACTCTCTGTTGACTCTTAAACATAGCTCTCTCTTGATTCTTTTCTTTTGGCTCTCCTTTGCTGGCCCTCTTCATCTCCCTGCCTCTTAAAATGTGTTCCAGATTCTCCAGAGCATTGTTCCGATTCTTTCTCTTCATATTCCTTTCTTCCATGAACCCCTTCATTGACTCTGCCTTGATGATTCATCTGCTCCTGTAACTGTTTTGGCCTAAGTGGTCTAAATGGCATGGTGGTGCATGCCTTTAATCCCAGCACTCAGAGGCAGAGTTAGGCAGATCTCTGTGAGATTGAGGCCAGCCTGGTCTACATAGTTCCAGGCCAGCTAGGGCTGCAAGGAAACCCTGTCTCAAAAAAAAAAAAATTCCAAATGTCCTATTATATTCACTGGAGGTAGAACTTCTGTATTACTGAAATTATATAGCCCATTCTTTATTCCTGAGCTTCAAAGGAGTTAAGGGAGTGAGCATGTGCTTGTGGCTTTGCCAATCGAGTGCCTGCTCCCAGGACTCTGACCCTCTGGAAAATTAATAGTGTCCTAGTTAATTTGTATTATCAATGTGACACAACCAAGGCTCACCTGGAAAGAAAGAATCTAAAGGTAAAGAATTGCCTGGATCAAAGTAGTCTCTGGCCTAATTTTGGGGGAAAATGTCTTGATTGATGATTGATGTGGGAGGGCACAGCCCACTATGGGTGGCACTGTCCCTAGGCAAGAGGGCCTAAGCTTTCTAAGAAAGCTGGCTGAGCATGAGCCAGTGAGTGAGGCAGTAAGCAACATATCTCCATGATTTCTGCTTCAGTTCTTACTTGAGTTCCTGCCATCACTTCCCTCAAGGATAGATGACGGCCTATAAGTGTAAGCTGAATAAATCCCTTCCTCCCCTAAGTTGCTTTTGGTCATTGTGTTTATCACAGCAAGAGAAAAGGAAAACAGAGCCAGTAATGTGGAGAAATATGGAGGTCTTATTCACTGGGGTGGAGCCAGATTTTCTTGAGTCTTTCCTGACCACCCATTCCTTACTTTATTTCTACATTTTAAAACTTTTGAGATAGGGTCTTATTGTAGCCCAAACTTGCTATGTAGGTCAAGGTAGCCTTGAACTCCTGATCCTCCAGCCTCTATATCCCAAGTATTGAATGGGAGAATGGGATGCCATCATGGTTGGCTCTGAGACTATATATATATATGGCACACATTCAGTGTTATGGCTACACTATTACATTTAGCAGTCAACAGCATGAGTAGAAAAAAATGTGTATATAAGAAATCTTTGTTGGAATATGTTTTCCATAGAACAGAAATTAAACCTGTTACACAGTCACAAATCTTTGCACATGCAAGTTAGTATTATCTGAAACATGTCTTCTTTGTAGCAACTAGCCCTGTCACCACTGTGCTTGGCTGAGTTCATGATCTGTGGTAACCAGAAGCTTTCCTGTCACTTCTCTGACTCCTTTTCTGCTAAACCTTGTCCTGGCAGTAATTAGAACCTTCTGCTACTGCCACAGCTACTGCTGTTGCTGGAACCACCATAGCCACCTTCGTTTCATGGTTTAGCAAAGTATTGGCTTCCATCATCATAGGACCAGAGCTTCTGCATCCAGTTTTCTCCCTTCATGGGTACCAAATCTGAAGGTTGTAATTGCCAAAATCATTGTAATTCCACCATCTCTGTTCTAGTTACCTTTTGTTGCTGTGGTAAAACACCATGACCAAAGGCAATGTGGGGAGAAAAGGTTTTATTTCACCATCAAGGGAAGTTAAGGCAGGAACTCAAGGCAGGAACACAGAGGCAGGAACTGTAATAGAGACCATGGAGGAATGCTGCTTATTGGTTTGCTTCCTCTGGCTTGCTGAACTACCCCCGCTTCTTTTTCAAATTTTAAATTAATTATTATTTTATATGTTTGAGTGTTATGCTTGCATGTGTGAGTGCACCTGAGTCATGTAGTGCCCACAGAGGACATATGAGGGTGTCAGATCCCCTGGAACTAGAGTTATGGACGGTTGTTAGCTGACATGTGGGTGCTGGAATTTGAACCTGGGTCTTCCACAAGAACAGCCAGTGCTCTTAACCACTGAGCCACCTCTCCAGCTCCTGCTGAGCTACCGTTCTTATACAGCCCAGGTCCACCTGGCCAGGAATGGTACCATCCACAGTGGGTGTCCTACATCATTGAACAATTATGAAATTGCCTCATAGACATGACTACAAGCCAATTGGATGGAGGAAATTCCTCAGTTGAGGTTCCCACTTCCCAGGTGTGTCAAGTTGACAACTGAAGCTAACCAGCACAACTACCAAAACTGCTTCTGTCATTACCAATCCCATTATAGCCATCCCCGCTGCTGCTGTATCTACCACCACTACCACAGCTGCCACCAAAGTCACTTTGACCATTGAAGTTTCTCCAATCAAAATTGTTATTGCCACTGAAACTTCCTCTGTAACCACCACTGTTTCCAGAAACACTTCAATTCTTCAGCTAGATGAAGCACTAGCCAGCCAGCCCCTGCTTAGACCGGGCTTTTCTTAACAGTTGTGGGCCCTCTTAAAGTATGGTATTTCCAAACGATAATCTTATCTACCAAGAAAGATGGTCATCAAAGATGACAGAAGCACAGCTCTTCTTTCTACTGCTGGAAGTCATGACTTCAATCACCTAAAATTACCAAGCCTATTTAAATAATCTCAACTGATGTTCTTCACTGTCTACTTTAATACCATCAACAAAGATAAGTGGGCACTTGGTCTTTGAGAATACTCTTTTTTAGTATTTAAATTTTTTTTTTGGTCTTTTAAGACAGGGTCTTCCTGTAGCCCCAGCTGTCCTGGAACTCACTATGTAGACCAGGCTGGCCTTGAACTCACAGTGATCCACCTGCCTCTGCCTCCCAAGTGCTGCGACTACAGGTGTGCGCCACCACGCCCGGCAATATTTTAATTTTTTGTTTGTTATTTTATGTGTATGAGTATATTGCTTGCATGTATATAAGTGAACACATGTTCACTTTCCATGGAGGTCAGAAGAGGGCGTTGACCGCTCTGCTGGCCACTGAGGACAGGGTGCAAGCCTGGTGGCTGGTGCTCAGTGCCTCAGCCCTCGCCCTGTGTTGCTCGCAGCCCCTGGGTGGCGACTATGATGGACTGCCAGCCTGCAGGCCACAATGGTGTTCAGGGACTGGGTGCGGCAGATGAGTAGTGAAAGAGGCTTTGAAAATGTAGAACTTGGAGTCATAGGAAAAAAGAAGAAAGTCCCTAGGAGGGTCATCCACTTTGTGAGGGGTGAAACAATGGAAGAGTACAGCACAGATAATGATGCAGTTGACAACTTAGAGAAGAAAGATGTTTTGCTTACTGTTGATCTGACAAAGCTTACCTGGGGCCCCTACTTACAGGTCTACATGCTTCGGGCTGCTGCATCAACCCTTTTAGTGTGTGATCTTCTTGGAGAGAAGACTGTGTCTGTTTTGGGCATCAGCACCCCAAAATATCAATTGGAAGGGTGGGGAGAGGGAGGGGGAAGGGGGCCTGAAGAAGCAGAATGACAGTATCAACAAAGTAAGCTGCAGGCTGATTCCATCATGCAGACGGACCAGCCAGAAACAGTGGTGTCCAGTTCCTTTGTGAATCTTAATTTTGAAATGGAAGAAGACTGTAAAGTAATTATGGAAAACAAACATAATCTAGTTTCTGTTCCACCATAGAATTAAATGACTATAAAATGTTAAACCCTAAACTTTCTTCTATCAGGAACTTTTTGCTTTCTCTGGTAGTGGGACTTAATTATTTATATTTTAAATTATCAAGGGAAAAATCTTCATTCTTGTGCTAGATCTCTCAGAGATCTGAAATTTGGATGCTTTTACTACATGTTAAATTAGTGATCTGAGTTTTCTGGGGATGGGGGTGGCAGTGTTAGGAACAAACCTAGGGCCTCATATATGCTAGACAAGCATTTTATCACTGAGCACAGTGCTTTGATTTTAAAATGGTCTTTTGTAAAAACTAAGGGCATTCTACAGCTCTAATTATTCATTAAGCTTTTTGGGGTTTTGTGCATTTGTTTAAAAACAAAGGTAAATAGTTGATTGATGATACTTAGAGCTGAAAATCGTAACAACTCATTAAATTTCCTCTTAGATTTTCTCATGTTATGCCTTCCTTACATTTAACATATCCAACCATTAATTTCACTCTAAGGATGGTTCACTGAGTCTGTAATAAAAAGATCAGGATGGAAGCACCATAAATTTTCTTATTGACAGTATTTTATGGAAAACCATTTGAATTTATTACTCAGTTAAGATGGGTTTTCATTTATACTACAAGCCAATCTTGTATTCTCTTTCAATAGTTATTGAAATAACTTGCTCTGATCACAGATAACACTAATTATGAAATGAATCTATTAACATGTCTGCAGTTATGTTGCTATCTAGTGATTACCCACATGGCTGGTGCCTTGGGTGTGTCACTGGTTCAACCCTTCATGTGTCTTGTAGGCAGAGTTGCTAAAGGATGGGGAATTAGGGACAGCTTATTGTCACTCACCATTTTAAAGAATAGCAAGTTGGACAGTACTTGAATCAGGTTTGGCCATTTCTTTCCTTACAGAGTTATTCACAAACTTTATGAAGCCACATAATATGAAGCCAATTTTTAAAATATTCCAAAATATGTGTACAGAATCTTTTAAGATATCTGTATAACTTTAGAACTAAATGTGGACAAAGAAAAATGTGAGCATTGTTTTAGAAATGCTGGTGTTTTAAAAGCCTTTTTGCCAGTTATGGTGGTGCATACCTTTAATCCCAACACTTGGGAGGCAGAGGCAGGCAGATCTCTGTGAGTATGAAGCCAGCCTGGTCTATATAGTGAGTTCTAGGACAGCTGGGGCTACAGGGAGACCCTGTCTCAAAAAGATTGAAAAAAATAAAAAGCCTTTTCATAAATTTAAAAGGTTTTAGAAATTAATGGTTAAAAATAGCCTTCTAAACAACATGAAGCTTTCAATCTTAAATATGTGTAAATGTAGCTTAAAACATGGATAGGTGAGCATATTATGGAAACCTGGCAACAAAGCTAAGTTCTACTGAAAGTGGAAGCTTTGTAAATGAAAAGTTGGAAGTTCGAGTGGGAGTTTTAGTTCAGCTGAAATCGAAGAATTTAGCAAGGATAAACTCTTCTTGGGATTCTTTAGTTACAGGGCTTCATGAGCTGCTGGTTTGTAACATGGTGATTTTTTAAAAATTCATGGCTGTAAGCAATATAGGTTAGTACTTAAAGTACTAATCTTCTGATTATGTAGCTAATGTCACCATAAATTAAACCACATAGTTTTAGTTTATAGTCACTAACCTATGCTGGCCTATCCTCTTCCTGTTAATTTGGTTTTTAACTTTGAGATAGTGCTTCCAACTCAGATATTTGGTTATGAAGTGAAGACAGGTGGGTCTAAAAGTGACCTAGAGGTACTAGTATTTTAAGAGTTTACACTAATTATAGAAGAAAGGTAATGACTTAGGGTTTCTTGAATTTACTTTTGCTGCCTGTCCAATAGTAGCCAGTTTGTGATGTATGTTATTCATTGTGTCTTAAAGTTTTATAGTTTCATTTATGCAAACTACAAAATTTACCATAAATTAAAAAAAAAAAAAACAGAAGAAGAGGGCGTTGAATCCCCTGGAACTGGAGTTATGGATGGCTGTTATCTACAACTCAGGATTGCTGCAAGAGCAGCCAGTGCTCTTAACTGCTGAGCCATCTCTCTAGCCCGAGAATATTCTTTTGACAGCTCTCTTTGGTTCACAGTGCCACTGTCCATTTTGTGTGGCCTTGCATTCATGGCTGTATCTACCTCCTCCACAGTGGCAAGCAACAAACCCTAAGTCCTTGGAGTGCTTGGTATTTGGGCCTCTCATTAATCACACAGTGAATGTTGCCCATTGCAGACAGTGGCTCCTCAGAATCTTGTCGGCTACTTCCAAGTTCAGTCCTTTGTTGAAGAGCTTCCATAACATGACAGTGGTGAGATTACTTCAGTGATGTGTCCACAGGCACACAGCTCTACCATGTATTTTATTTTATTTATTTATTTTTTGGTCTTTTTGAGGTAGGGTCTCCCTATAGCCCCAGCTGGCCTGGAACTTGCTATGTAGACCAGGCTGGCCTCGAACTCACAAAGATCCACCTGCCTCTGTCTCCCAAATGCTGGGATTAAAGGCATGTGCCACCACACCCAGTTTCTACCATGTATTTTAAATTTAATTGATGTATTAGTTTATTATTCACCTATCCTACACAAATATAAGTGGAGATACATTCTGTGTATTTACTCCTGTTTTTCTAGTGCCCTTAAATGTATGGAACTGGGGATGGAGAGATGGTTCAGTGGTTAAGAGCACTGGCTGCTTTTGCAGAGGGACTGGGCTCGATTTCCAGCATCCACATGGCACCTGAAACTCCAGTTCCAGGGGAATCCAACACCCTTTTCTGACCTCCATGGGCATTGCATGATACAAGTGCACTTACACACATGCAGGCAATACACTCATACACATAAAATAAAAATAATAAATAAGGGGGCTGGAGGGATGGCTTAGCAGTTAAGAACACTTGTTGTTCTTGCAGAAGACCTGGGTTCGAATCCCAGCACCCACATGGCAGCTAACAACTGTCCATAACTCCAGTTCCAGGGGATCCCACAGTTTCTTCTGTCCTCCGTGGGCATTGCATGATATGAGTGACTTACTTACATGCAGGTATAACACTTGTACACGTAAAATAAAAATAAATAAATATTTTTAAATGTATGGAACAGACATCCAATTACTATTTGTTAAATGAACATTGTTAAATGACTACTTGTTTTTAAAATTTTTTTGTTTATTTATTGTGTATGAGTGTTATGCCTGCTGGGATTCAAACCCCAGTCTTCTGCAAGAGCAGCCAGTGCTCTTATCCACTGAGCCATCTCTCCAGCTCCATGACTACTTGTTTTTATTGCCTAATGAAATCCTGGAGCTCAGGCTAGCTTCCAACTAGTGGCAATCCTCCTGCCTTAGCCTATTAAGTGTTGGCATTGCAGGTTGGAGTCACCACACTCAGCTTGAATATTTTGCTGTTCTCATAGCTGCTCCACAGAGCATATGAGCAGTGCTTTTCTTTGTGTTTTGTGGTGTGGGGGGTTGAACACAGGGCCCACGTATGCTATGCTATCACTCTATTACTGGGCTACACCCCTAGCTCTGGAATGCTCTAGATTTACAGGAAGCTTGTGGCTATAGCCCACCACCAATTCTGAGCCCTGATATCCTTCTAAGAGTTGTCCTGTTAAACAAGTTAACCAGTTGAGTCTATTTAATTTTATGCAGAAACACTTTATTTTAGGCTTGACCCATGGGCTGTCTTCAACCACATTCACCAGCTTTCTAAAGTGTTATTTACTTTATTATTATTATATTATTATTATATTATTATTATTATTATTATTATTATTATTTTGTGTGTGTGCATGTGTATCAGGGGTGTGTGTGTGTGTGTGTGTGTGTGTGTATGAGTGCACCTATGTCATGGTATGCATGTGAAGGGCAGAAGACCACTTTCAGGAGTTGGTTCTCTCCTTTCACCATGGTATCTGTAATTGAACTCAGGTTGGAACATCTGTATGGCAAGGGCTTTGAACTGCTGAGTCATTTCACCTGCCCACATTAATCATCTTTGCAATAAAACTTTTATGTGTTTCTGCAGAAGTCACCGCCCAAGAAATTATTCACCTAGAATTTCCGCATCATTCCTTGCCCTTCACTCCATGGACTTTGGATCAGACCGTTCTGTAGTGAACTCCCTCAAGAGCCATTAGGAGAAATTGCATATATTTAAGAAATTGTCTGGCATGGTAGCACATGCGTTTAATCCCAGCACTCGGGAGGAAGAGGCAGGTGAATCTCTGTGAGTTCAAGGCCAGCCTGGCCTACACAGTGATTGCCAGGCTATCTGGGGCTGTAGGGAAGACCCTGTCTCAAAAAGACCATAAAAAATAAATTTTGTCTTGCATTTTTGTCTGCAAAACTAGAATATTACCAGTCTTGCTTACAGAGTTTGGGCCTGCTGGAATAGTAAATTAATAATGGCAGTCATTACCAATTTATATTGATGGCAACTCAAAATAGTTCCTAGGTCCTCTGCCCTAGACTGGGCCTTAAGCTTTCTCTAATTTGGAACCTTACAGAAACCTTTTAAGTGACTTGATTTTCAAAACTTATCACTAGCCATGTGTGGGAGACAGGCTTGAGCCTAGAGCTTGCCACTCCCTAATCACCACCCTTGGAATCCAAAATTGCAACACTTAGATATTGCAACAGTCAGGGCCACGGGGTTTCCAGGAATCCAGGCTTTGTGATCTGAAACCCAGTATGCTAATGAGGCATCCTACCCGCTATTCTGTGATAGGACATTAAGTCTGTTATGCTAATAGGATGCTAAGTCTGTTATGCTAATGAGGTATCCTACTTGCTGTGCTGTGATTGGACCACTACCCCTATATAAGCGTGTGCCTTCTTGCAATAAAGCAGACCTGTGTCACTGAACCTGGTCTCCTGTGTCTGAATGCGGCTCCACTGACACAGTCTCCTCACCAGCCCTGACCTGGCAGAAGCAGTGATGACAGGAGGTAGCGCCAGGTGAGCAGAAGAGCTGCCTCAGC